CCTGCTTGGGTGTGCCCAGCCGCAGTCCAGAGTCCCGCTCAACCGGGCGACTTGGGGAAACGTTCCTGGGAAGGAAATCTCAGGGGTGGGAGAGAAGAGCATGGTACGGCCACCCGGACCACCGCAGAGCATTCCCGTGCGGTGGCGTGAATCACAAGCGAGCTTTGTTGCTTGGATAATTGAATGCCAGGAAGGGAGCGCCAAGGGGCGGGGCCAGCACTGAAGCCCCGACCAGAACTTACGTAGCTGGCGGAGGCGGGTCCAAGTGCCCAGAGTCTGGGCCCTAACTGACAGCGTGGCGACATGGCAGCGGATCCGCGTGCCAAGGCCGCCACTCTGAACCTGAGACGCCGGCTGCTCAGGTACCGGTGCTGGCTTGGAAGGCGCGCACAGCGCTCGCCCCGAGTCCCTGACTTCCCTGCCTCTCTCAGCCTTAGCTTACTAGATGCGGCCATGGGCCACACCGAGGCTCCGGGACGTCCCCCGCCCCGGGGGGCGGGCTTTGCCCCTGGCAGCTGCCTGCAAGAGGAGCTGGGCCTGGTCCCGGGGTGGGAAACCATGTCACAGACATGTTTAAGAGTAAGTCTGCTCTTGGCCTGCAAAGGGGACCCTCGGTTCCACGTGGAGAGGAGGCCGTGGCTGGAGTTAGCCACCCCAGCTAGGGGCAGTAGGGCCCCAGAGATATAGCAAGGAACGTTGAGGGCTAAGATCCAGCCCCTAACATGGGGCTTTTCTTCGGGAAGCCATCCCGAAGCCTCTTTCACTAGGACCGGAGGAACTGATGTATGTGCAAGCAAAACTGAGAGGGCCACCAAGGTTTAAACGAGTTTGTCTCAGCAACTTTCTGCCCGTCCTGTTTGCTCCTCATAGGAATAAGGAGGCAAGCTATTGTCCTTTCCAGAAACTGGGAAGGAGTGAAGGAGGTTGTGATGAGTGTGGTCCCCACTCCGGTCTTTAAACAGGGCTACCCATTCTTTGCCTGTCCCCACAGCTCTTCCTGCAGACTCTTTTTTCCTGAGGACCCTGTTAAGATTATCCGAAGCAAAGGGCAGTACCTGTACGATGAGCAAGGGCGAGAGTTCCTGGACTGTATCAACAACGTGGCTCATGGTCAGTACCAGCCTCACCCTTGGTGAAGCAGGAGAGGAGGCCGAGGCTGTATCTGATTGGCAGCCTGAAGCAGGAGAGGAGGCCGAGGCTGTATCTGATTGGCAGTTTGGGTTGAACAGAACCACCCAATCTTTGTGAAGGAACCTGAAAAGACCCACACCCTATCTGTGCTAAACCAGGAAGGAGGCAGAGGTTCAGGCATCAGGGTCCAAGTTCCACTTGGAACTCATAGCAAGCTAGGCATCGAGCCTGCCCAGCCGTGATCTTGGCCCTGTGCAGCGACATGAGAGCAGGCCTTCAGCACTATACTGACTGTTGGTGGGGGACTACAGGAAACTTAAGTATGAATTCAGCCAACTAGGGTTATCAGAGCTGATAGCAGAAAGAAAGGCTTTGGGTTAGAAGGCACATTGGAGGCAGATGAAGTTTAAAATCAGGGACAGAGGCAGGTGGATCTCTGTGAATTAAAGGCTAGCCTGGTCTGCATAGCAGGACAATCCGCTTCACAGAGAAACAATGTCTCAGGGAGGAAAAAAAGTTACTTAGTGCCCTGAGCCTTATTGCTCATTGGCCAACGAACAAAACTCAACTAGTTTGACTAAAGCACCTAGTTTGACTCAGGTGTTTTGGATAATTGTGTGAATACTGGTAAATTTCTTTGACCATGCTTGGCACTTGGGAAGCACTCACTAACTCTGTTCTCTGTTACTATCCCTAAGCCTCTGACCATTCCCCTCTAGCCAAAGGTCTCAAGATACCTCTCTAAAAACACTGATTTTCTAGCTGTTTCTACAGGACCATCTTTTTCTTCTGCTGGAATCTCTCTTGAGACCTTCCATTCCAGAACATCACCTCTGTGTCCCCCCATCCACACCAACTCCCCTCTTTCCACCTTGTCTTTATCATCTTCATCTCCCCTGGGTGGGTTTGCAGATGGAAATGGGGGGGGGGGGGGTCTGGTGGGATGGCTGAGTGGAGTCTGCCATGTGATGGAGGTGGCCCTCTTGCAGTCGGGCACTGCCATCCTATCGTGGTCCAAGCTGCACATGAACAGAACCTGGTGCTCAACACCAACAGCCGATACCTACATGACAACATCGTGGACTATGCCCAGAGGCTGTCGGAAACCCTGCCGAAGGAGCTCTCTGTGTTTTATTTCCTGAATTCTGGGTAAGTGAACTGCAGACAACATGCCCTATTGAGAACAAGTCCAAAGTAGAAAGTCACCCATGTGGGTGCAGTGTAGTAAAGCTGCCTGGGGGAGTGGAGCCCACTTCAGGGAGAGGCCTCTGAGCTTCCTGGTTGTAGACTTCGGAGCTTTTTCTGTTGACTGTAGGTTCTTGCTCTGTAGAGCACACCACAGCCTCCCTCTTCCAGGCACACTGGGGCTTAGTGAAGTAAAGGATTTCTTTATTTCTTCCTCATGGATTCAGCCCTCAGGTGTGGCTCAGCAAGCTGAAGGGACATCAGATGGTTCCTCAGAGAAATAGGAAATTATGGAAGGGTCCTTTTCTAGAGCAATAATACAGAGAAATGAGGTCTAGAAGCAGCGAGGGTCCTGACTTGACTGTGGCTCCGTGGAGATGCTAAGAGCTCCTGAGGTAGCTAAGATAGTAGCTTATGGAGGAGGAAGTCCCTCTGGGGTAAGTATTCTTGTCAAGGTTGGTCACCACCTGGCAAAGGCCCTGTAACAGGAAGGGGCATGCTTGGTGACCCAACAGAGGAAGAGGAAAGAATGAGCAGTGAGCAGTCCCTTAGCCAAGTGGGGGAAGCTGGGTTTATCTTTAGACCACTAGAAAGCTATAGGGAATTGGGGTGAAGCTTGGTTTTGTTTTTTTCTAGTGATAATTAGTATTTTTGATGTTTGTTTTTAATATGTGTGAGTGTTCTATATTTTTGTTGTTGGGAGTTTTTGTTTGTTTGTCTGGGTTTTGGTTTTTTTCAAGACAGGGTTTGTCTGTGTAGCTTTGGAGACTGTCCTGGAACTCACTCTGTAGACCAGGCTGGTCTCAAACTCGCAGAGATCAGGCTGCCTCTGCCTCCTTAGTGCTGTGATTAAAGGCGTGCGCCACCAACCAGCTCCATGTCTGTTTTCAATATGTTTGCCTGCATATATATCAATGAATCATATGCATGTCTGATGCCTGTGGAGGCCAGACGATTTCAGATCTAGAACTGCAGTGCAGACAGTTGTGAGCTTACATGTGGGGGCTGAAAATAGGTCCGCTGCAAGAGCAGCTGATGCTCTTAACAGCTGAGCCGTCTCTCCAGCCCCGCCCCCAAAGGGTTTTAATCAGGAAGCTATACTATCAGGATGATGAGCAGGAGTGACTAGTTTTGGGCACTTGGATTGGGAATGGCAGTGATACAGAATCAGGAACATAACCACCACATTCTAAAGAACATTCCAACAACTAGCATTTGGGTTATAGGCACAATCGCAGGTGTCATTACCTCTTACAGCCTTCAGTCTCCTGAAGAACTTAGCAGTAGAATTTCACAGATATGGAGATGCATCGACTTGGCAGAGTGCTTACCTAGTGTCACAAGGCTTTTCCATCTCTAGTACTACAGTATTAAAAGGTGGGAGAGGGGAAGAAGTGGGGAGCTGGCTAGGAGATGGAAGAGCCTAGACGGGGAACTCTCTGTTAAGAACAGGGAGGTGGGCACAGGGAAGGCAGTCCCTGTTGTCTCCCTCCACCAAGTTCCTTCTGTGTGGATTCCAGTGACTTTATGTTGCCAAGTCCTGTGACCTCTGGGCTCTCTAACCTGTTTCTCAACAGTTTGACAGCTGTCATTCTCTCTAGAGATGCTTTTTTTCCTCTTTGCTTCCAGGCTCTGGTGCTCACCAGCTGCCGGTACCACTCCTCCTCTGTTCTGTGGGGCGTGTCCCACTCCTTTTATCCCCCTGTGATCTCCTCTATCTGTGGGAATTAAATGTCAATCATGTGCTGGTGACTCAAAAATCTGTATCACAAACCCAGATATTGGAGCTGGAGAGATGGCTCAGCAGTTAAGAATAGTGGCCCACACCTTTGGTTTTTTTGGTTTTTTCGACAATGCCCTGCTCTTTGCATTTTAGCCTCTGTAACGATGGCGTGGAAAGCTCTGTGGTCACTTAGCTTGGAATAAACAGTTTTTCGACAAGGTAAAGGAACCATTTTACTTCCTTTAGTGTTGTACTGTTCTTAGAGTGGCCCTTGAAAGAAAAGCTAGCTTAGTGACCCCCCCCCCCCCCCCCCCCCCCATGCAAAAAAAAAAAAAAAAAAGAACAGTGGCTGCTTTTCCAGGGAACATGGGGTTTTGTTTTGTGTATTTGTTTTTGTTTTGATGCTGTGTCCTTTTTTGTTTTGTTTTTGTTTTTTTGTTTTGTTTTGGGTTTTTTTTTGAGAGAGAGAGTTGTGTTGTCATGTTGTTTGGGTTTTGGGGGGGGCTTTTTGGTTTTTCAAGATAGAGTTTCCCTGTGTAACAGTCCAGGGTGTCCTGGAACTCACTCTATAGAGATTGAACTCACACAGATCCGACTGCCTCTGCCTCCCTAGTGCTGGGATTAAAGGTGTGCGCCACCACTGCTGAGCAAGGTCCTGGGTTTGATTCCAAGCACCTATGTGGTACTCAACAACTCTCTGTAACTGCAGTTTCAGAGAACCCAATGGGCACCTTCATAAATACCAGGCACATATGTAGTGGGCAGACATATATACAGGTAAAATACCCAGACACATAGAATACTTTTTTCTTTTTTGGTTTTTCCAGACAGGGTTTCTCTGTGGCTTTGGAGCCTGTCCTGGAACTAGCTCTTGTAGACTAGGCTGGCCTCGAACTCACAGAGATCCACCTGCCTCTGCCTCCCGAGTGCTGGAATTAAAGGAGTGTGCCGCCATCGCAGGGCCTTCTTAAAATATTTTTAATTAAAATAAGAGGGCCTGGAGAGATGACTCAGTGGTTAAGAACACTTGATGCTGGGGGCTAGAGAGATGGCTCAGAAGTTAAGAGCGCCAATTGCTCTTCCAGAGGTCCTGAGTTCAACTCCCAGCAACCACATGGTGGCTCACAACCATCCATTATGAGATCTGGTGCCCTCTTCTGGTGTGCAGATATACATGGAAGCAGAATGTTGTATACATAATAAATAAATAAAATCTCTACAGAAGACCCAAGTTCAGTGCCCAGCACCCATAGCAGGTGGTTCACAACCACCTATAAATCTACCTCAGTGCCCTCTTCTGGCCTCCTTTGGCACTACACAAACAGAACCTCCACACAGAGATACATTCATTCATATAGTTGAAGAATAAAAAAAAAATTTTTTAAACCCAGATGGCCTCCCATGTGTTCCACTTAAGTTTCTAAGTGGCCATTTTGACATCTGATACTCATCTCCAACTTAATTTATTCAAAAACAAACAAGAATTGCCTTCTCCTGGGCATACAACAAGACACCTTTAATTCTAGCACTTGGGAGGCAGAGGCAGGGGGAATCTCTGTGGGTTCAAGACCAGCCTGGTCTACAGAGTGAGTTCTAGGTCAAGCAGTGAAACATAAACTCTGTCTCAAAAACAATTCAAGCAATAAAATAATTTTCAAAATAAAGAGCTGCCTTCTACCAATGCCTATGTGAGATCATAGCACTGGTTCTCCCTGATGCCCTGCCCCCCCACACACACACACACCATCCACATACTATGTCACCTGTGTGTGCTGGGAAGAAACCACACATGCAGTCCTCCCTAATCTGCCCCAGGATCTCTCTTAGCTCATCCCCATGGCTCTCACCCAGGCAGCCTGCAGAGCCTCCTCACTCCTACCTCATTCCCTTTAGAAACAGCCAGAGGCTGCCTCCTAAAACGACACCAGAGTCACATCCTTTCTCTGCTTCATAGTCTCTCTTTGGGAATGAGGTGGGGGTGAGGGCGAGGAGAGGGCTTTAAATGTTGCTAAGGAGATGGTCAGTCTCTTCCTCAGTCCTGGGAGCATGGCCCTGCATATCTCTCTACTTCTCTGCCCCAGCTTCCTTCCCTCCGTTGCCTAAACATACCAAACAGAAGAGGGCCTGTTGTTCTGTTCCAGAAGCCTAGAATCTTCCTCAGTATTTAGGGCAAGTATTACCCTTTGCAGATGTGTCACTGACCCCACTATATTGACGGGTAGGGTAACCGTAACAAAAGGCTGCAGACTTGGAGGTTAAGCAATAGAAATGTATTTTCTCAGGCCACTCATGGAGATGCCTTTAATCCCAGCACTTGGGAAGCAGAGGTAGGTGGATCTCTGTAAGTTTGAGGCTAGTCTGGTCACACAGTGAGTTCTGGAACAGCCAAGGGTATATAGAGAAATCCTATCTCAAAAAAGAAAGTAAAGATAATATATTTTCTCCAAGTTCTGGAGGCTAGAAGTCCAAGACCATCGTGTCAGCAGGGTCTGTGTGCTCAGAGGCCTGGCTCCTTACCTAGCACACGACTGCCTTCTTACCCACCTGACAGGGTCTATGCAAAGGCCCCAGTATCTATGAATCCACACTACTACTCACAGACATCAAACAGATTAGGCTGGGGCTTGCCCCAGGACCTCCTTTTAACTAACCTGTTTAAAGGCCTCATCTCCAAATGAAGCCACATACAGTTCATTCTGAGGTACTATGAATTAGGGTTTCTATGTAGTAGTTGTAGAACACATCTTACCCCATAACACCCTCTTACCTACATGCAGCCTCACGTGGGTCTTCCTCAGCACCCTGTGCCCAGTGTTGACACTTACAGAAATGATCACGCTGTCTTGTTTGGCTTTTAAGATACATCATGGCTGGGCAGTGATGGCATACACTTTTAATCCCAGCACTTGGGAGGAAGAGGCAGGCGGCTCTCTGTGAGTTCCAGGCCATCCTGTCTACTGAGTTACAGAGTGAGTTCTAGGACAGCCAGAGCTGTTAATACAGAGAAACCCTGTCTCCCAATAACAACAAAAAGCAAATGCATCATAATGTAAGTTTTAAGAGGGCCCCTCCTGTTCTCACTCTGTTCCTGACGTTGCCAAGGGAACGGTGTCCTGAGAATGCTCTCGATGCTGGAAGGGCTCCTTCTCCATGGAAAGCGCTTGGGTAATGTTCTGCCCATATTTTCTGTCACAGGTCAGAAGCCAATGACCTGGCTTTGAGACTGGCTCGTCAGTACACAGGACACCAGGATGTGTTGGTATTAGACCAGTAAGTGTAACTCCTAGCCCTGCTTCTCCAGATCCTAGGCTCCACGGGTCTGGGAGGGTCAGTAAGACTCTGACTTAGGAGCCTTGAGGGGGAAAGCCAGTGTGGCATGAAACGCAGACTCCAGTGACAGCTCCCTGGATGTCTTGACTTCAGCCTACCTTTCTGAGAGAACAGTAGTTGTAGTGAAATCAGCCCCACAGCATTAGAGACCAAAGGCCATTAGAGACCAGTTAAGATTTAAGATGTATTATAACCCTATGCTCCCACTTTACATAGAAAACTGAACCCAGAGTGGTCAGGTGACTAGAATTGTGTCATGCCAGCAAGTGGCCTTGCAGGAAGTCACTCCAAGCCTGCACTCATCCCCAGCTCAAGGACTTGGTACCCTGTGTTTTGTCTTCAAAAGTGGTAGACACTGGTTAGGGCTGATCCAGGGAGTAAATGTCACCAGGGCCTAAGCCCACATCCTCCTTCTCCCTAGTGCTTATCACGGTCACCTGAGCTCCTTGATTGACATCAGTCCCTACAAGTTCCGGGACCTGGATGGCCAGAAGGAATGGGTCCATGTGGTATGCACGCCCATATCGACACAGGTCAGTTTCCACCCCCAAACCTGGACGACATGGCAGTGTCTCTCCCTACAGGCTCCTCTCCCAGACACCTACCGGGGCCTTTACCGGGAGGACCACCCCAATCCAGCAGAGGCCTATGCCAATGAGGTGAAGAATGTGATCAATATCGCACAGGAGAAAGGCAGGAAGGTAACCACACCCACATCTGTCCAGAGCATATCAAATCCACCGACAAGATCCTGAATGCCCAGACAGTTCAAGAGTAGAACATGCCCAGGCTTGGTGGCACAGGCATTATTCTAGCTACCTGGACTATATACAAAGGTCAACCTGAGCAACTTAGTGAAACCCTACACAAAATAACTTTAATTTTTTTATTATTTTAGTATTTTGTGTGTATGGGTGTCTTGCCTACATGTATGTCTATCCACCATGTGTGTACAGTGCTCTTGGGAGTAGATCCCCAGGGATTAGACTTAGAGATGGTTGTGAGTCACCATGTAGGTGCTGGGGATTGAATTCAGGTCCCACCACTGAGCCATCTCTCCAGCCCTGGAATTTTTTTTTTTTTTTTCAAGACAGGATTTCTCTGTATTGTTTTGGAGCCTGTCCTGGAACTTGCTCGGTAGATCAGACTGGCTTCAAACTCACAGAGTGTTGGAGTTAAAGATGTGCACCATCTATGCCTGGCCCAGCCCTGGAATTTAAAAAAAAAAATGTGGGAGGCTTGGTGTGGTAGTGCACACCTTTAATCCCAGCTCTCAGGAGGCAGAGGCAGATAGATTTACTTGAGTTTGAGGCTGGTGTAGTCTGTATTGGAAGTTCTAGGCCATTCAGGGCTGGAACTGACTCTCATCTCAAAGAAAGGCAGGGGAATGTAGCTCAGTATTAGAGTGCTTGCCTACTATGTGTATGAGACATTCTGAACTCAGCCCCAGTACTGAAGAAAAGAGTAGAATGAGACCCTGATTTTGCCTTGAGAATCTAATGTGGAGAGGGAATGAGGCTCATTAATGTCCAGCCTAGTTTTAACATATTGGATCAAGTATGGATCCCAGGGCCTGGGCTAGAGCAATGTGTATGAAAGGAGGCTCCTCCTAGAGGAGGTTACTATGGAATTACATAGTAAAGGTAAGATTTAGCCATTCCAGGTGGGGTAGGAGGCAGGAGAGGAAGAGCTTCCTGACAGAGATGAGGACCACATAACTGGAGCCAGGTGGAACAGGTTGTTAGATGGGCCTAGACAAGCAGGCAGGACCCATATGCCTGGAACTCTACCCAGGGACCTCAACACAGGTGAGGAGACCCTAGGACTGCGATGTTCTGTCTTGGGTAGAATGCTGGATGTATTTCACTGTGGCAGTCCAGAGATGAGCTATGAGACTGCCTTCCCAGGGCAGACTATGGGGATTGTGTGGAGAGGCAGATGGGGGTGTATACCCTGGGAGAACAAGGCCCACACTTACTAGCAACTGGCTAAGAAAGAAGGAGTAACAGCAAACAATGTTTAGAAAAGAAAGGTAGACTGTGATGCCAAAGAGATTAGCAGAACCAGCTGAAGGGCTCTGATACTCCATAAACACTTCAAAAGAACCACTGGTGCTGGGTGTAGTGGTACATGCCTTTAATCCCAGCGCTGGAGGCAGAGGCAGGTGGATCTATAGTTCAAGGACAGCCAGGTCTATAGAGTGATTTCCAGGACAGCCAGGGCTACACAGACAAACCCAGTCTCAAAAAACAAACAAACAAAAAAACAAAAAAACCAATAAACAAATAAATAAGACCTATGCTACACAAACCCTGCCTCAGAAAATAATTAAGAACCTACTTCCCCACTCCATCAGCTGTCCCATGAGGCCTCCAAAGCA